TGTATCTTACACCTATTTCAACTTTACCATTGTGATTGGTATGTCAATAAGCAGAGCATGCAGCATATTAGCTTTCTGCTGTTGCGTATGTGGTACTTGGTGTGTTCCTGGGAGATAGGAAGACATGGAAGAGACAGTGCATAAGAGGAAGAAAAAGTAACTGCGACCTCATGTTCAGGTTCTCATCGGTTTGTAGCACCTTAACACAATAGACATGTCTGTTCTTCTCCAATAGCAGGCTGTCAAACACGGTCCATCCATTTTCAAGAGATTGACGAGTCCCGAGACAGAAAGAAATGGACCGTAAAGAAGAAAATAAAAAAGAATAAAGATCAGAATCACAGATGTGGGTCCTGTCTATTGTGTTTGATTTGCTAAGATGTGCCCAGCAAGCAGCAGTTCTGCGGGATGGAGCTCAGTCACGTCCCACACGTCTCCGCACACGGCAAAGGTGCTTCATTGTGTTGACACGGCTCACTGAGCACAGGCATCTGTATGACACTGAGAAATCCACCGCATATCAATTTACCGCTTGCTTGTTTGGTCTTTTTCTAAAAATACGTTCAATTTGGAGGCCAGCTATTAATTTACATATGTATCAAAACATGCTCTCTCTCTTCCTTGGTGTTGGAAAAGTTTCTCAGGGTCTGGGGGGGGACACCAGACACCCAGGAAAATGGAGTCTGTTGCTCCCGTCGACATTCATGTCCACGGAACTCCCACAGCAAAGTCTGGTATCCCTACTGGTCTTGACATAGCAATGTGGGGGTATAGAGATCCAGACTGCACACACCCAGAGGTGACAGCTGGCCTCTCGGGTCACCTGGCTCTTAAAATCTCCACCTGCTCTCTGTGTGGGACCCCAAAACATTCTCAGGATGCGCTCCAGTCTATCCAGCCTCCAGTCAGTCAAGGTCCTTTACATCCAGCCCTATTCACCAGCATGAATTTCCCGCTCTAAACTGAACATGAACCCTGCATCTAGCTCAAAAAGAACCCAAAAGCTCGATGACTAGGGAGCTAATGGCTTCTGAATATGTGTGCTTGACCCATACTTGTGTTCTTGCTATCCGTTTCACGTCATCTTCCATTGCCAAAGCCCAGTTCCAATACTGAAGGGCAGAAGTACAAAGGACAGTCAAAATCCCCAGATGCCCCATTCCAAACATGAAGGATACATTGGTTGCATCATTGCCAAAGGAGACCAATCCCATGATTCACTGCGTTCCAAGTTCGTTCCTTGAGAGGCAAGTAAGCAAGACCGCTCTTGCCAGGATCTTTGCCTTCTTGGGATTGAGAAACACTCAATGTGACGACCCCAGGGGGCTTCCCGCACCTGCACTGAGGCACTGGAGAGCGGAAGGAGCGCCACAGAGTCCAATCAACCCTGGACTGCCATGGTGCTTGACTGGAGCAGGCAGATGGGTACAAGGCGTGGTTGACGGGGTGGCACCGCCCTCATCTCAGCAGGGCTGGTTTCGCCTTGGCTGATCATCAAGGGCCTCATCAGGCGTCTATGGAGAATTAAAGTGGACGTGGGCGTTGCAGCTGGCTTTGGGGGGATCTCCGGCTGAAGGCGTCGAGAGCAGAGTCATTGCGGATTTCTGCAGGGCTCTCGGGAAGAGCTTGAAGCACTAATAGGAGCATGACCTCAGCCCTTCAGCTCTCTGCCGGGCTGCTAGCTGCTCACCTAGGTGCCCCAGAGCCAGTCACCGAAGCATTTGGATGAGCGAGATCGCAACGTCATTGAAGGCAGGCGTCCAAGAGAATCCACAGGGATACAGCTAAATGTCCTGCTGATCCCCAGCCAAGCCTCCTTCTTTATGGATAACAGACACTTAGGCACTTCTTCCCAGAAGGACTCTGCTGATGATGCTACAGCAGGACAGTAGGACAGATGAGGACAGATGAGGACAGATGAGGACAGGGAGGTCACTGTCATACAACATAATGGGATCTACACACCTTATATACATAAAAATAAGTTAAACGATGAGGACAGATGAGGACAGATGAGGACAAGGAGGTCACTGTCATACAATATAATGGGATCTACACACCTTATATACACAAAAATAAGTTAAATGATGCCCTATTCTCAAGTGTAGCCGCAGTGAAAGGCAATAGACACTTATTATTAACCAGCAAACAACACACTTATTTATGAGTTTTGAAGAACCTCCCTCAAAGCATTATGGGGTGGCACCCCCTGATATGGCTGCAACACTTTCTGACTCATCATTTTACTTTCATGCTTATATGGGCAACATAAACCAATTCCTTTTACAAAACCAGCACATATTCCTTAAAAGATCAATGAAACTAACAGCAAATAACAGATCTGCAATCGTCATTCGAGCACATTTTCATAGCATGAAAACAAAATGTAAATTAGCATACAAATCCAATCAGTTTTACATTTATTTACAGTGTCACAGTTTCACATTTTAATATGTGTATTTAATGAGTATCTAAATGAGCGGAATTTTCATCCACAAATGTGTAACAAGCAAGGCACATGCATTATGCATATCTTTCTGAGCTGAGGTGAAAAAAACAACTCTACACTGAAAAATAAAAGAGAATCCTTTTAACTGTTGTGTGTGTTCAGTTTCCATATAATAATCTAATAAGAATCATTTGTGTTTAATTTGATAGGGAATAGACTGGTCTAATTAAAATCTCTGAAGTGTCTTGAATAAAAATAATATGCCTTTAGATTCCAAGCATATCCCTGTCTGCGGAAGAAAAATGAAAAAAGACTATTTAACAGGACGTGTCTCACCTTTAAGCCCATATCTCACATGCCTTTATTGTTCAGCTGGATCCTAGAGAAGAATGTGTGGAGACACGTAGACTGCAGGCCCACTGGCGGGATGAGGATTATGTCAGAATCTCAGAGCAGATTCCCTGCACTCAGCCTAAACAGCTCAGCAGGGTGGAGAACGTGTTTGGCTTGATTCTTCGGCCGTCGAGCAGAAACTTGCTGATGTAAATGTCTGATTCTGCAAACCTCATGGAAACACTGTTCAATCTTGCCATGATGGAAGAGGAAAGCAATGTATTGTACCATGTTTTACCCTCTCCCACCGCTGTCAGTCAGCACAAGGCCCGCATGCAGCCTCTCAGCAGATGGTGGTTGTGGGATGCACAGACCCTAGTGGGCTTCCTGTAGCCGGCCTAATGACTGGCTTATATGTTGTGATTTTCAGAACATATCAACCCTGCTCAGATCACACAGACAGATGCAGGAGGGCCACTGCAACCGGCATCCATCATCAAAGGCAACTCAGGGTCACTAGTGACCCACATTACAAGCCAGTAAGGATGCTGTAAAGTTCAGCGCCTGGTGTTTAATGAGCGCATCCTTTAACGGTTTGGGCTGAAATGCGTGTGGCTTGTTTGCATGACGGTTTTGTTTAATGTTTCCTGCCCAGACACAGCAGAAGCAAATTAGTATGTTAGCAGACCATGGTGTAGCTCTGTATTGTTCCTGTCACATAAATAAATGCATCAATAAATCAGACTCAGTCCACCAGATGAAGGCAACAGCAACAGATTGTGCATCTGAACAACAGTCAAAGCAGTTTCATTTAGAAGCTACACACCTGCCAACCCGCTGTTTCGGTCCAGACTGGGACACCTGTTCTAGGTGCAGGAGATGGGGTTCTAAGTCTAAGCAGGGCACTGCCACATTATCCAAATGCATCTTGGGATTGTTTTCTACTTCTTCAGATGCCTCTCTGTAGGTTGCCATTCAGAGAGATTATCCCCCGTACTGAGAGCGAGTGACCAGGCTGTCTCATGCTCGTAGACGACTCCTACAAGACATCGTACTATGGTGTGACTTTGTGCCATTCAGTTGTCTGTAAATTCTTCCCGCTTTGATCTTTTCACCAATGCTGGGGAACACGCACCCCTGGGAAGCAGCCCGCATCAGGGGAGGCATACAGACCAGGTTCGGCTTCTGTGGCCAGCGCAAGCAGCCGTGCAGCCGCACATCACAAACACTTTACATAATGCATGAGCTGTCCTGCACCCCCACGCCTTTCCATCACTGGAGGGCAGATCCACTTAGGATGCATGCAGCAGGGTTTGCAGAACCTTCCCGGAAGGGATTCTACCCACCTGCCATTGCAATATTCGCCTAGCAGAGGCAGAGCGAGTAACCAACACTGAGCTATAACTTCGAAAGCTGGGTAGGAAAATACTAGGCAGTTACTAAAAGGTGAACGTTTCTAGGTAAAACTGATTTAGGACAAATAAAATGCTAATGCTCATTAATTAAGAAACCAATGCTTCATGCCTACCTGATCTCATTATATTCCCTCCTTAACAACACTTCCTGCTTCTACTAAAAGCATTTAATGCAGAGAATGTTATTAATTCCTAATCATACACACTGCAAACTCCAGATCAGTTTTTGGTGTGTCACTGTTTAAAGGTATTGTGGGAAGGGGGAGGGCAGTGGGTAGCACTCTTACCTCACACCTTCTGAGGTGTGGATTCAGATCCTCTACACCCCTTGTATGTGTGTGTGTGTGTGTCAGGCATGTATTACATTGTGGGGACCAAATGTCTGCACAATGTAATAGAAACCTGTTATTTTGCTGTTTTAGGGACCATTTTTTCTGTGTTTTTTTCATCGTTATAAAAGTCTGTGACTGCAATCAAAAAACTAGAAATGCCAAAAGGTGTGTATTTTGTTTGGTTACTTATGGTTAAGGTAAGACTGGGTAGGAGCTAAGGTTTTAGGAATTTAGGAATTAGGGTTTTTCCCATTTTTATGAATGGAGAGTGAATATGTGAACTGCGTGTGTGTCTGTGGGTGTGCCCTGTGCAGGGCTGGTACCCCGTCTCAGGTGCCCCCTGCCTGATACCCTGTGCAGGGCTGGTACCCCGTCCCAGGTGCCCCCTGCCTGATACCCTGTGCTGGGCTGGTACCGCGTCCCAGGTGCCCCCAGCCTTATACCCTGTGCTGGGCTGGTACCCTGTCCCAGGTGCCCCCTGCCTGATACCCTGTGCTGGGCTGGTACCCCGTGCCAGGTGCCCCCTGCCTTATACCCTGTGCAGGGCTGGTACCGCGTCCCAGGTGCCCCCTGCCTTATACCCTGTGCTGGGCTGGTACCCCGTCCCAGGTGCCCCCTGCCTTATACCCTGTGCTGGGCTGGTACCCCGTCCCAGGTGCCCCCTGCCTGATACCCTGTGCTGGGCTGGTACCCCGTCCCAGGTGCCCCCTG